AGCTTGTCGATGTTGCTAGTACAGTATCCGAAACCGTTGTCGATGGTGTGAAAGAAGCAGCCGAGCAAGTCACTGATAAAGTATGTTTTGAGCTATTAAAGTCTCTAATTTCCCTTAAAAGCTGTCCATACCGCAATATTCTACTCGACAACATCTAAAAACATCTTCATTAATAGCATTTTTTGAAAACTGTATCCGATATTTATGTTGTTTTCTAAAATTAGCGAGATGCATATTTCTGAAAATTGAATTGATAATTTCTATTGATCGGTTTCTTTCCAGATGAAGGCTATGCAGAATCGATCAAGCCTCATAGAAGATGATGATGAAGAGCGTCCCATTAAATATGAACAGGTAGAAATTTTCTTCACTAATTGCTCTTGCTGTTGGAAATTGTCGAAATATATATCAAGTAATTTTCTGTGCTGTTCAACCCTTCTGCGCCAATTTTCTTACTAATTTACCATTGATTTAGACGGATCCCATCATTGATACTGTGCTAGAAACCGTTGCTAGTGACTCAGAACGCGTTGATCATGCTATAAGTAATGGTGGTCCAGGTATGGAGGGAAAGGAAAATGGCAAAAAAGGTCATGAGGTTGGTTAACTTTGTAAAACATCTTGATATTATACTTACAAGTATCAATTCTAATCCCTTAGTAAATTTTTTTATAAAAGAAGTTGCTTTTTTCAGGTTGACGAGGAAGGCTTCCGTGTTGCAGCAGATTCTCACGATACTCGACTCTTCCTTCCACCACCGTCTGCAGCACGTGGTAGAGGTAAGGAAACCTAAATTTCTGAAGCGGTTATTATAAATCACTAGGCTCAAAGGTTAAAGAAATTTGGTTAAACTAAATGTCAAAGCCAATTTCTTCCCATTTTGGAGCGAATGCAGGCAGGTGAAAGTCTCTAAATCTAAGGTTGGGGGACATATTTAAAAAAGACGTTAATCGCTCCCTTACAAGTCTTTTTTTCCTGCAGTGTCTGGTTTTTGTTTGCTATCGCTTTTACATATTTTCAGCATTTCCTATATGACCATTATGGGGGGAAGGAACTTCCTAAAATTAATTACTTAGTTGTAATTCGAAATGTAGTTAATTATCTCCAGAAAATCAGAATAAGCTCCGAAAGGTCTTGCTTCAAAACTAGGAGTATGGGGACATTTCTAAATATTGACTATATAAGACGTGAACATGAAAAGATAAGATTGCTTATGCGCTTGGTATCAAATGCTTGGCTGTGTCTACTTTAATATAATTTGTATTTTCTTTTATTTATTAAAATTGTTTTCTTGGAAATATGAAGTGGTCAGCTGTGAATGCTGCTTAGGTTATCTGTAATCAATTTGAAAAATTTTTGGATCTTAGATACCTGATCAAGTACAATCTTACAGCCCCTCCAGTCCCACATTTGACGCGGCCACTTTACTTTGAGCTCGCGACTGTTCCACATTTCAATGGAAAATGTACTCTTCCGGATGAACAGAGCGCCACTGAGTACTTTACAAACATAAGGTTGGTTTCACAAGCATAGGCTCTTTACTTTCTTCTTTTGTTTTTCCATCGTTATTTATTCATAAGAGCTCATTTCAGGTCGGCTAACTACATTTTACACAGTGAAGACATCTCTCCAGCTGTACTTGACGGATGGCTTGCTGGCAAGAAACATTGGCTGAATAACGGTAGGCGAAATGCTATTAGCTTTGATGGAATTACCCCTAAGGCGTGGTTTTAGGTCATAAGTCGCGCATAATACCCACCAGGCATCATAGCGCTCTACAGGCGTTTGTCACTCAAAACGCAGCCCAGTTGGAGGAATATGGTCTAGTAGTGAATTCATCACTAGAGAATAACACAATTTCGATAAATACAGAAGAAGGACGGGAGGATTACCATATGATCAAGATTGAACTCTAAAATTACACAAACCATTCTCGTACTTATGCAAATTACCCATCAACAAAAAACACTCATAGTTATCCTAGCCTAAATCTAATCTCGTACACCAGTTTCTATATGTAATGAGCTTAA